AATATTATAATAATTTTATATGAGTACAATTATTTAATAATATAATTATAAATAATATTAACTATATAATTATATAATTATTATACTATAATATTATATTATATATATATATAAATGTAATATTATTATTTTTCGAATACACGCGCACATTACGATTTTGTCTTTTAAAACGTTTGTTTAAAGAAAAAAAAAAAAGAAAAAAAAAAGAAGAAAAAACAAAAAGAACAAGATTTAAACTCGAGAAAAAAAGCATAGATAAATAACGAACATTTATAATAATAATAATAATAATAATAAAAAAAAGTCAAAGTAGATTTAAAAATATATTAAATAGTAGCCGCAAGCGTAAAAAAAAAAAAGCGCTTACTAGCTTACTAAGAAGCGAAACTAGCTCATAAATATAATCTAAAGTTTCTATCTTTTCCCTTTTTTTTTTTTCATTTTTTCGTTGTTTTTTCTTTTTTTTTTTTTTTAGTTCAATCATTTTATCGTTTCTCCATTTCCTTTCTCTTTCTCTCTTTAAATTCTTCTCTTTTTTTTTTTTTTTCTTACCTTTTCTTAATTTCTGTTTCCTTTTACACGATTGAACGACACCGATGACTACTTAAAGTTTCAGCAAAAATTTTTCCTTTCTCTCTCTTTCCCTCTCCCTCTCTCTCTCTCTCTCTCTCTCTCTCTCTCTGATACTTTTCATCTTTTTATTCTTCTTCTTCTTCTTCTTCTTCTTCATCTACTACTTTTTTTTTTCTTTTTTTCCGGACAGTTTGTCGCGACAGTCTAAAAGCCGGGGCACGCACACACAAACCAGACCGCCCTCTTATCGGTTTCTCTCTACCTACTTGCCAGAGGGGCCCCACTTGAGTACAACAGATAGTTTGGGTCCCTGGGAGAATAGGGGCCCCATGAAGTTTTACCCTCTAATCTTCGGTCCTCCGAACACTCTTAAGTGGGTTTTCGAGTTCAGAAATATTCCGTTGTGTCGGAATATCCCTTTTTTTTTTCTTTTTTTTTCCCCTTTTTTTCCCTTTTCTTTATATTTCTTTTTCTCCTCTACATATACAAACATATATACATACATATACATACATATATATATATATATATACATTAACGCACTCACTCATTCACGCACGTACACCTTACTTTAAAGCAAGTTATTTTCTTCTTTTCAACGTTATTTATCTCATCCTGCAATAGTTTTCCTTTTTTTATTTTTTTATTTTTTTATTTTTTTGTTTTTTGTTTTTGTTTACTTTATCGTATTCCCTTTTACATTGGTGGAAAAGGATAAGGGTAAGGGGGGAGGTAGGAGGGAGGGGAAGGAGGAACATCGTACACGGTAAAAGCATTCGATGGTGTTTAATGATTTTTTATTTTATTTCATTTTATTTTATTTTATTTTATTTTTGTTTTCATTGATATTCCCCACCATTCTTTTTCACTATCTTTATCTATCTCTCTCTTTCTTTTATTCTTTCTTTCTTTCTTTCTTTCTTTCTTTCTTTCTCTATATTCTATCTTTCTTTTTTCTATTTATCTATTCTATCTATTCATCTGATTGATTACTCTATACATTACATTTACAAGCTTTCTATAATTACTATTCATACTAATTGCCTTTGGTATCTATTTTTTATTTTTGTTTTTGTTTGTTTTTTTTTTTTTTTTCAGGTTACTGAAAAGCGATGCTTACATTATCGGTAACACGGAATGAGAAAAGAAAAAAAAATATAATATTTAAAATAAAGAAAAATATATATGGCAAAAAAAAAAAGAAAGGATATTTTTTTTGCATGAACCAGTTTTAAAGGGGAGCTTTAGGTAAATTATTATTTTCTTTTTTTTTATATAATTTGGTTTTATTCTTTTTTATTTTTTAATAATAATAATAATAATAATAATAATTATGACAGAGCTAATTGAATTGAGTTAAAGGAATATCCAGAGGATAATTTATTTTATTATTTATTTATTATTATTCATGAATTTTAATTGAATATTTATTTTTTTTTCTACATGTATGTATTGAATAATTATAAAAACAAATCAAAGTTGGAATAACAATATTGTGACTAATTGATTTCCAACGATTTATTTCACATATTTGAAATCATTTACGTCATTAAAAAAAAAAAAAAAATGAATAAATTATATAATAAAATCAATTTTTCTCATAATTATTATCATCATTATTATTATTATTATTATTTATAATTTTAATTAATCTGTTATCGTAATTAATGTAGCGTGATATATTTTATCAGCTATTTATTAAATACTTGCGTACAGATATGCATATATATATATGTATATATTAAATATTACAAATTTGTAATATTATATTATTAAATATAATATAATTAAATATATTATAATATATAATAATTAAATAAATAATATTATATAATATTTATATAATAATATATAATATATAAAGTAATAAATAATATATAATAATGTATAATAATTTATTATATAATATTATATAATAATATAATATTAAATTATTTTAAATTAATTAATTTTAAATTTAAAAAATTTGAAATTAAGAAAAATATAATTTAAAATTACATTAATTAGAAATTTTAAAATTATTAATAATATTAAATTATAATTATATAAATATATATA